CATTTCGTTAATTAAGTGCTGACTATGATTTGTAAAAAGAAAAAAAAACAAGACAGAAATTTCACTTATCTTGCGTGCTAACGAAGATGCGTGGCTGGTAATTATAAGTATTACTTATACGCATACCACATCGACAGAAATATTATTTAAGCGTATATTGATATCTCTATTAAAACTTCAGTATTAATCTCTTAATTTATATTGCGTAGTTATATACTTAATAATGACGATTTTAATACACTAATATTTTGTATGAGAATATTGCAGAATATAGTTTCCCCGTAAAACTAATCACAATTTGAATGCTAACTGGGTTACTGTATCGTCAATTATGTGTAGCTATGCCAAATCAACCTGATGTTCCCCTCAATAAATGTTAACATTTTGTTTTTTCACAGGTTCAACCGCTTCTGCCGGTTACCTGAATTCGTCGGGTAAAAGTTCAAGTTATTTAGTACATACAAAACGCTCGTACTAAATTTACAATTTCAAGAAATATCTGTGCATAAAACCTTTCAGCAGAGCAAAATGCTTTTCGAAAGCAAAACTGGAACATAATAAGAATTTTTGTTGCGTGCTGTGGCAGGTACGTTTTTTAAGTAGTAATTGCTGCACTTGTTTCTGTTGCGTTAGTAGGAAGATAGTTTGTTGCGAATACGGACATTTAAGCTCGTCTATATGTTTCTGTATTAAATGCATGTTTCTGGAGGATTTCAAAACACACCAACAAGCTACTATTAATTTGCCCGAAGAGAAAAGTTTATAGTTGTTTAACTGCAAGATTAATTTAATTTTTCGAGTCGCCAGTGCCCTGAAGGTGCTGTTATACTTGATGTTTCTAAATTTGCGTGACTTCGGCATAACTTTTAAGATAGTAAACTATGGAAATGTTTGCAGAACTTTTGCATCGGGCTTTGAGTTCTTCTCAAATGTCATCAAGAATTTCCTCAGAAAGTTTAAGCGTGAAAGCTGAAAATTCGTTCTCCAAGTATTTTTGCAGTCCGAAATTTTGTAGTTGATTATGTTAGGTTAGAAATTGAAAATTAATCCCGAACGTTTAACATGGGTAGTTAAAAATAGTGATACAAATGCCATCAGACATAACTGTATGAATATTTTTATTTAGCAGAATTAACATTGTTTTTTAATATTATAAACAACGTCTCTGTTGATTATTTCGCTAATTTCTATTTAGATTTTTTGTTTTGTATGTCTTGTAATCCTTGACCTTTAAAAACTTAAAACATATGCATATAAATATCATAAATATCTACTATATATTATACAATATATCTTTCTTTATTTCCCATATAGGCATTTAAGATGTATGCTTATACATAACATTAAAGTACTACTACATAAATAACCAGAATTATTTTAAGAGAAACAATTTAAGAAATACAGACCAACCTAATCCAACCCCATGAAAGAAAGATTTACGATTTACATAAACTGCACTACGTACATTACATAGAGCAATCCAAAAGAATAAAACGTATAAACGCACTTCATTAAGGATGAATTTCGATATTCATAATTTCAATATATGAACCTGAATATTTATATACTAATAACTAAAATAATCCATATTCTGGTATGTACTCATTCATATGTAGTGTACAACAATAATGTAGATCACTTATTAGATGATGATACTTAATATCGGATAATTAGTAGCACATACACATAGCAGCGTGTTTACATTTTGGCATAAAACGTAAAAGATAATGAAACATCAAACAATACGATGCAAAGAAAACACAAAAATAATTTGAAGATTTCCAGCGCAACACGGATCAAAAATTCAGGCTGCAATAGGAAACTCACCAACATTCAATTACAGACTTTGATTAAAAATAAAACTTTATATAAATTATCAGCACAGCTGGAAGAGCGCTTTAAAACTAGCATGCAATTCTAAATTAATGGCAATTGCAATTGCTGTTTGTTTGTTATACTTTCTTTTGCAGAAAGAAAAATGAAGGATTTTGTTTTATTTAATTTTGCTTTGTTTTTTACTTTTTACGTAGAACATGAAAGGTGAACCATTTCTATAACATCCATGACGAACGAAAATTAAGTAAAAAAAGATATTTTGACGCTTAATTTCAAGAACAGCTGAGTGTGTATTTTCCCTTTGGATTAAAACTTGCAATAACAAAAACAAAAAACATTGCTCTTAGACGTTGCAAAATTAAACAAAAACAAAATATTTCAAACAAGTAAAAGATAAAACCATTTTATACTATAACGATCATTAAATATGTGTGTTACAATTTATATTGTATTTAATAGTAATATGTATGTATACATTTATAATACCTTTAATTAAAATCTGAATTACAAATAAAGTATACTATGCAGTACATTTCTATGGTATGTAAGTTTATTGCATTTTTTACTTAACTCCTTATTTTCACTTTAAGTTCAGGTATGGATATCTAACATCTTTGTGTACGATTATTTGATATATGTATAGACGCGTATATCATATTGGTATATGTAGCAACCTCCTTATTACTATTTATGAACATCTATAATATTTGTTGCAATGATTTACTTTATATTGCTTAGAAAATCTGAGACCTGGCGATTCATATATTGAAAAGGGAATCCTATTTGTACACAATAGTTCGAAAGGGATAGCTTCAATTCGCCATTTCATTAGGTAATATATCTAAACAACAGTACTTCAAAACCCTTTTCTGGTACACAATATTATGAACTAAAATTACACGGCTAACCAGAGTTTAGAAACTAATATGATAGCTGTTTAGAGAGTTTCCACATTATCTCTCCGTTCTGATATTGAAGATACGCCGGATTCGTCAAATCTTTAAGCCTAGAATTCATAGGAAGTTAGTAGTAGCAATACAACTAAAAGTCCCAAACTGTGCTTTAAAGTTTACCAAGGTTAGTGGGGGGGTAGAGGCCTCTAAATAGATTTGCTTATTAATAATAATAATAGATTAGAATTACAGCTCCGACAGCGATTGTATTTTTGTAAGAAGATGTTTTACATGGCAGAAATATACTCGGAGGTTTGCTATAATCTGCCGAGAGGCTATTTTTGATGTTGGTCGGAAACCGGACTTGAACCTAGGCCCTGCGGGGTAGTAGCACGCACTTTTAACCACTACTATTATTTGCTATTAAGATGTTAACATCTTATTATCTTATGAACTGTACTTTTAAAGCGTAGTATTTTCTTTGCGTGAATAATTTTCCACTTTTATTTAGGCAGCGATTTCGAGAAATGCACTTGTAAATCCCAATCTTAGAAATCGATTGACATTCTAACTTGTGATCTTCTACACATTTAGGGTACTCACAGTTTACTTCTAAAGTTAAAAGGTGGCAACTTTAACAAGATAACACACTCGAACTGTGAGCAACCCTTATGTTTAAATAAAGTATTAAGTTGATCAACAATACCACGCATTGCTAGACCGTTTGCCTTTCACGCGTTTGTGTTTAGAGAGCATCAACAAACCACATACATATTTCTCTCTATTCTCTCTTCTCTTTTTTATACTCAGCTAGCACAGCGCAAAAAAAAAAAAAATAACCTTTGCCAGCTCCAGGCAGGCGCAAAGAGAAACTTGGTAAAATGTTTTAAAGTTGCCAGGTGGCAAAATTAACACAGTAGATAATATAGAACTGTGAGTACCCTAAATGTCTATCATATATGTATGTATTAGGGTGTTCGATTATTCGCCTACTTTTACAAAACCAGTTTTGAGTTATTCGAAAAAACTGCAATTTGAAAACACCGGATAAACCGGGTTTCTTTTACATAGTTTTCATATAGTGAAAAAGCTTATGTTGGTATGATGTCATAACCAAAAAAAAAACTATCAACAGTAAAGATGGCTTTTATTTAGAAAAGAGCAAAGCAAAATCAGTTCAAAGTTTTTTTTTTAGATAAGAAGAAAAACAAATCAAAAAAAGCTTTTTCGAATAGCGGTCGCTCTCGGCAGACAATGGCAAACCTTCAAGTGTACTTCTGCGATAAAAAAAGCTTCTTCGGAGGTGGAGTGTGTCACTACATTAAAAGTAGATATATGCGAAAAAAACAAGACTTCAAAAAGCCGCCTATAGATATCCAGCGGAAACCGGTTTGGAAAGACCGAGTCAATCCCCCTAATATGTATACAGGCAAATGTGTATTTTATTCATATCAATTTGATATCAACCATAATGTCATAAACACTATGATATCAACAAGTTTAGCCCTTTTTTTCAAAGAGTTTGTTCTTATTTTTTCAAGGGTGTAAGGTAGGGCGCATATTTACCCGTTGCAACATTATGTTAACTCTTATATTTTCAGGTATATGATGTATTCAACTTAGCGTGTATGTTACTGAAAACAGTATATCTACAGTACTTTTAAACGCACTGCTACTGATATGCCGCTATAACATTCTCGTACTACCAAATCTATGTTGTGTATTGTATATGCTTTGTATCTTGCTACTATGTACTACATACATACATACATACATATGTATATTCATTATCACATATTGCATATACACATATGTACATATATATGCCTAAGTATGTGCATACTTGATCTGCTAAGTAAGTAAAATAAAACGTAAGTAAGTGTACATATATTTTTATAAAATTTTTATTTTATTTTGATATGCCATATTATGTACATATGCATACATAGTATGTATTTAGATATACAGTGGTAGACATTCGTATAAGCGAAATAAATTTTTTTTATAATGATCAGTTAAACGTTTTTTACCACTAAATTATTTATTTACATATACATACGTACATAGTGAACAATTCCACTATCGAAAAAATTCCAATGAAAGGTGACAACTTGCTAAAACATAACCGCCCAATTCAAAAAAAAATAAAGCCTTTACCGGTGTGCGGTTAACCTAAATTTTAGTACCTAAACTAATATTCCACTGGAAATTTCCAGCACTGCAACAATTTTGGAAAACAACTGCTTGACAACCTAAATTATAAGAGCATAGGCTAGAAAAAAAAAATAAAAAGTGGACAATGGTCCGCCTTCTTCCTTTTTTATATGGAAGAAAACGCGAATCATCGTCAACAAAATAAAAAAAATACTTATTTTGTGTGCTGATCAAGTTTGCTTAGATTTATATTATTTTTAAATTAGGCTTGGTTGAACTATCATGAGCAAGTGCTAGTGAAAACTCTCGGTTCTTCTTCACTTTATGACCAACGTTTCCCTAACTTCCGTAGCTTCATCAGGGGCGGAAAATCATAGGTCCTCTAACGAATCGTTTTTTTTTTTATCAATGAGCGCCACAATGCCAAATGAAAATTCGTTCGATCAGCACTTTCGACCACAGTCGAAGATCGATTGCAACTCACGCTCTTTTCACGCTTATTTGAGAAATCTGATTTGCCCATATTACTTCTTGAAACAAAGCTCCAAATAGCCTGCGTTTTAAGCACTATATCTTTTAATAAAGTACAACAATATCGCTTTAAAAAATTTAACTTTTTAAACGGCAAAACGTCCGTAACGTAGTGTCCCGATTCGGAACATTGGCACCCTACAATGCGACAAGCGCATTGAAAATTGCCCTTTCGCATTCATTTATTCCCCTTTCGCATTTGAGGCACCCTGTAATGCGTAAACGAAAGCCAAACTGCTTCTTCTATTGTAATCTACAAACTACGTTTAATAAAGAAAGATTTTGAAAATTGTTTGAGCCAATATAATAATAATAATAGAATGGCGCTTACACATGTGTCAGTGTTTGGCCGAGCTTCTCCTCCGACTTGTGGCGTGCGCCTTGATGTTGTCACGCAAAGAGGAGGGAATTACAGTTTTACGCCGACTCCGAACGGCGACTGTATTTTTATGAGAAGCTGTTTTTCATGGCAGAAATACACTCGGAGGTTTGCCATTGCCTGCCGAGGGACCATGCCAATATGATATAAATTTTTATTTTATAAACAGCGATAGCACAAGTAATTTTTACCAAAAAAAACCGACTTCAATTCTCATAAAAATAATATATATATATATATACATATTTCATGATTTCAGATTAGTATTGGACCACACTATCTTTTCGATGAAAAAAGAATTATCGAAATCGGTTGACGTGCTCCAAAGTTATGCGATAACATACATAAAAAAAAAATATATTCCGGTGAACTGATAACCTCCTCCATTTTTGAAAGTCGGTTAAAAACTTTTTTTACGCCCATTTTACGAATATACATAAATACATAATTAAGATTCAATATCAAAATTTTAAATTTGTCCTTCGGGTGTACACCATAGCCTTAGTTCCATGAAAGGAGTTTCCACATTTTAGAAAATCGAATTCAAAATTTCTCTGCCGCAGAGGGTTGCGTTAAATATTTAACACCACGTCATTAAATCTGTATCGTTCGTTCGATTTTTAAAAATGAGGTGTCACATGAGAGGCCTTGTCCTTCGGGTGTGCAACGTAGCTTTAGTTCCATGAAAGGAGTTTCCACATGTTAGAATATCGAATCGGACCACCACGTCATAAAATCTGTATCGTTCGTTCGATTTTTAAAAATGAGGTGTCACATGAAAGGCCTTGTCCTTCTGGTTTACAACATAGCTTTAAGCTGATGTCACATAAAACTTTTGCTTCGCTTTACGTGACAGATTCGCTTTGACAGATAAGATGAATTGTATGAAAATGCACAAAGCATGCCACATAAATCGTTGAAGCGGCAGCGCGAAGCGAAAAGATGGTCAACTCCCATCTTTTTGCGCGCTTTGACAATCAGCCGGTTTAATATTTATTTTGTTTCGTCCAAATTCGGGTTTTCATGCAGAAACATAAAACTTAATTACATTGCTGATAATTTTAAATCAAAATAATTAAAATCCACAGCAACTTTGATGAGTAAAAAAAGCGGTACAACATTGTTTTCTTGGCGTTCATTGTGGCATACCTTTTGCGTCTGGCGCTTTGCTGGCAAAGTTATAAATGTCACGCAAAGCTACAAAGTTTTATCTGGCATCAGCTTTAGTTCCATGAAAGGAGTTGCCACATGTTAGAAAATCGAATTTAAAATTTCTCTGCTGCAGAGGGTTGCGTAAAATATTTAACATCAAGTCATAAAATCGGTATCGTTCGTTCGATTTTTAAAAATGAGGTGTCACATGAGAGGCCTTGTCCTTCGGGTGTGCAACGTAGCTTTAGTTCCATGAAAGGAGTTTCCACATGTTAGAATATCGAATCGGACCACCACGTCATAAAATCTGTATCGTTCGTACGATTTTCAAAAATGAGGTGTCACATGAAAGGGCTTGACCTGCAGATGTGCAGTATGGTTTTAGTCTTTTAAAGGGTTGCCATATATACGGCCAAATATTTTAAGGCCGAAAT